AAACCCTGGTGGGGGGCCTGGATTCACTGTCAGGAAGAGGGTTTGGCCACATGCCCCTGGGGTTGGGACCAGCCCAGCTGGGGAGGGCATCTAGAGCAGAGTAAGCTGAGGGCTGCTCAATCCTGCCTTGGGGCTCTCTGCCCCACCATGTTGGCACTTCTGTTGCAGCCACAGCAGTGACTCCAGGCCCTGTGTGGGACATGGAAGGAGGGAGCAGAGCAGAAGCATATTCTGGGTAGCTGTCCATCTCAGAGGAGGTCCAGTCTAGAAGCGGGCAAGGCCTGGGCCAGATACTGGCTGCCACCAGGTCACAGTGGGGGTCCTCACACCCCTGGCTCTGTGGCTGGGACTCTTGTCCCTGTACCAACCAATGATTCGCGTTCCCCAGCACTCGACTTGGCTCTCTGTGCCAAACCTTTGGAGTCAGATAGGCCTGAATTCAAATCCAGACGTCCCCACTTGCAAGCTGTGTGATCTTGTCACTTTTCCTCTCTAAGCGCCCATGTTGTAATCTGTGAAATGAGAGTACCTAGATGTCATGATATAAGCGAGGCCAGCCTTTTCGGTCGCACAGTGGCTGTTACTGTACAGTTGCTTCCTCCAATGCACCTGCACCTCCCAGCCTGGCCCCTCTCCCTGCTCAGCCCCATGGCAGCCAAGGCCAGAGGCCTGCCCACTTGCTGTCCATCAGAACAAGGCCAATAACATAGTGTCATGTGCAGTAGTCACTGTGTAAATAGGAAAGGAGCTGAGATGTCCCAGCTGTGCTGTCCCAATCCAGATAGAAGCTCCCAGCACTGGCCCGCCTGAGGTGGGTGGCCACCACGTGGTCGGCATCTGGGCGCCATCCACGGTTATGGCAAACCCAGCCAGTGTATCCCTCTCATGGGCTGCTTCACGTGGGGCCTCGCCATGGAACCAGGCCCGAATCAGCTTAGCTTCTTGGGCATCTCAGTGGTCCAGGCCCTGGGCCAGGAGACTCCTCATGACCGCCATCATTATCCCCAGTCACAGTCAAGGAAACTAAGGCCTTGGGAGGTGAAAAGGCTTGCCCGTGGCCACCCAGCTGGGAAGTGGCAGTGCTCGGCCTCCGAGTCTCCTGGCTGTAAGCCCCACGGTCTCTCACTCACAGCACAGCTGCCTGTCACATGGCAGAGTTGGCAGGGCCTCCAGGCCTGGGTGGGCCCACGGAGGCTAGGACCTGGACAGATATGCCATGATGCGTGCCAGGGAGGCAGTGGGAGGCGGCCGCAGTACAGTCATGAGCCCTCTCAGAGAGCGTCGATCCCAAGGGAGAAAGCGGGCTGCGAGAGCCTCTAGGTTCAGCTTGCTTCAGCAGCTGCCAGGCCCCAGAGGACTGGCTGGGGTAAAAGAAGGACTAAGGACATGGCAGCCTGGACAGACCTGTGTTAGAATCCTGCCACGGTCACTTCCCAGCTGTGTGTCCTCAGATAAGCGATGCAACTCCCTCAGCTTCAGTTTCTTCCCTATAAAAGAGAAATGAATCCTCCCTGACAGCAGCGCTGTTGTTAGGAGTCCATAATCTGGGCAAAGCCTATAGTTTAGGACCTGGCACATAGTAAGTGCTCAGTTTTATTATTATTATCGTCACCTCACTCTCAGTGTCTCTTTCTTCCACTACAAAATGAGGGTAATAATGTACTTCATGAAGCTATTGTATGGATTAAATAAAATATGCCTTCATTCAAGCTTTTCTTCTTTTAACTAATGTTTACCAAGCAGCTCCTATGTAGTGTGTTCCAGCTGCTGCAGACTGAGTCCATGGAGCAAGACACACTTCCTACTTGGAGGGGCTTGAAGTCTGACAGGGAAATCAGACCCTAAATGCACAAATGATACCAATAAGTATATAATTGCAGTAGTGGTGAGTGCCGTGTTTAGGACTTAGCACTGCCCTGGCACGGTGCAAGGGGGAGGTGGCTATTTTTATGACTTCATTATGAGTTAGGCTTTTAAATATTTCCGGTTACAGGCCAATAATACTGAAAAGATTTCCCTGGATTTGCACACTGTTAACTGTGGAGGTTTTGTTGCTTTTGGAGGTTTTGTTGTGAAAATGAAAGGTTGTTTATATGAAGGATCTGTCCAGACAGTGCCGAGGATCAGGGTCTCCCAGGTCCCTGGGGCCAGGAGGCCCCTTTGGGAGGTCCCCTCAGTCCTGGGTGCATTGTGGCCTTGGCCTGTGCACTCCGGTGCAGGGAGTAGACAGGTGCTGGAGGCGGCATGTTTTGTGGAGGTGGGTAATGAACACTTGGTCAGTGGAATTTGCTCTGAGGAAGTAGTCAGCTCCCCGGGCCCCCAGGGGCTGGGGGGTGGAAATGGTGTGCAGCCCCCTCAAAGGCAAGCTCTCCTGGCTTCTGTTTGCAGAGCCAGGAACCTGAGAGGAAGCAGAGGGTCCAGCACCGGTCCTCACAGGGCGGAATAGGACGAGGCTTCCACACTGGGGGTGTTATTGGAGAAAAGGCAATTCCCCATGTGTCTCTGTGGGCCAGTGTGTGGGTGGGAGCATAGGCACTGGCGCCAGACAGCTCATCCTGCAGCTCGCTGTGAGGCCTTAGGCAGGCATCTTAATCTCTCTGAGCTTTAGTTCTCTTTAACCCTCATGGGGTTGATGGGAGGATCACATGAGGTAAGGAGGGTAGCTTTCCACCTTGTCCTGCTCCTCAGTGTCGCTCTTTCTGGGCACTGTTCACTCTGCCACTCCGAGAAAGCCGGGTTCAGGTCCGCACCAAGTTCACATGTGGAGCAGAGCAGCCCCATGTCCCTTATCCCGTCCCCTCATGCTCAGCACTAGATACTTTCTGTTGTGGTTGCAGCAATGATGGGATTTTCAGGATTGCCATTGCTGACTCTTTGGGGAGGTAACTGAGTTACATTTTTAAGAGGGGGGAGGAAAAACAGGTCAAGAGAAAGAGTAAGTCTGTGGGTTTCAACCTACCGAACTTGGAGCTTCTCAACAGGAGAAACTATTTCTAAGTATTAAAATTGTGGAAATATGATGCCTTTAGAAAGAAGGGAAGTGGAAATGGCTCCTATGAGAAGTATGAATACCAGCATATGTTTCTGTGATTTAACAGTTTCCCGTCACAATGTGTAGCTATTCTAAAAGCAGATGAATGACTCATGGTATCCAGCAGCAGCGGTTTACTGTGATGGCAGGAGCAAGTCCTCCGGGGAGGCAGGCTTGAGTTTGACTCCCATCTCCGTCATTTGCCAGCTCTGTGACCTGGAGCTGGTTACACGTCCCTCCTGCATTTCCTGTTCCTCCTCTATAAAATGGGTTATTTTAAGGATAAATAACATAATGGATGTATAAGTCAGTGCAGTGCTCATCCATCCATGCAAAAAACCCACAACTTTTACACTAAGTACCTGGTTAATTACATGTGTAATAATTATTAGGAGTTCAACAATAAACTTCAAGGCTATAAATTTTCCTCTGATTACCACTTTGGTCTGATCCCATAAAATTTGACATGTCGTGTTCTTATTGTCATTGTCCTTGAAAAGACTTTTTATTTTAGATGTTTTGTTTTCTCTTTGACCTGAGAGTTGCTTGTGAGTGTCTCTGTGTGTGCATGTGGGTTTTCCAAATAGTTAGACTTTTTTCTATATTTATTGTTAAATCCTAGATGTAATCTAAGGTAAAAGAATGTGAATAATATGACGTTTACTTTTTGAAACTTATTGAGCTTTTCTTTACAACTTAGTATACAATCAGTTTTTGTCAGCATTCCATGAGTATTTGAAGTGAATTATATTTTCATTTACATAACGCCAAGCTTGTTAATTTTGTTACTCAAATACTATATTCATATATGCACACATGCACACATATATCTGCACATGTGTGTATCTGTGTATATATTTTCATGTATACACACATGCGCACATGCACACACAAATTCTGGAAGAGACATGCCAAAGGCTCCCTCTATGGTTATAGCTTTGTTGAATGCACTTTTCATCTCTGGTACTTTTCTGCTTTGTATATTTTGATGCAATGTTGCTTTGTGCGTAGAAATTTGCAATCATTAAATCTTCTCAATCAAATGTGTTTTTCATTAATATCAATCAATCCTCTTTGCCTTGTTCAATGTTTTCTGCCTTGCTTCTGCTTTACATCGTACTCCTGCCCAACCCCGCTAATATTATGGGTACAGTAGCAGTGCTCATGGAGGGCTGCTGGAAGGACGTGCCACCCGTTGTCCATGCTCCTCCCCAGAGGGTCTGAAGTATGGCCCTGCAGCAAGCCAGTTAGCCAAGAGCTGTGTCTGTGTCGTGCACTCTGCACAGCCAGTTCCCAGCCAGGTGACTTGTCCTGAATTCCCCCTGGGGCGATGCCATGTGGCCATGCCAAAGCTCAACACTGGCCACATAGCAATGTTTTTATATCACACGTTATTTTCTTATTAAGCACCCTCAGGAGAGTGCTCTGTCTAGCCTTAGATTTTATACCAAGGACTGTTGCTTTTTTTATTTCTTCTTTTGTCCCTTAGTTAATTTATGATTTGTGTGTGTGTGTGTGTGTGTGTGTGTGTGTGTACAGAGAGACAGACACACAGCTAAGCGAATAAACAAAAAACTGAATTCAATCCAAATGGTATTCTGCTGGACACGACACCTTAGACCATTAAACTTCATCGGTTGGTGAAAAACACAAGTATTCATTCATCCCTTTTATGTCCTGTTATTTTCCAGTTGGGTTACAGGGAAAAAAACCCTTGTTGCTGGAGAGTGTATGAACCAGAAATACTAAAATCTTGCCAGCATTTATTTTGGTTGTTGCTCAGATGTCTGATTTACAAGTTGAGCGATCTATGTGAAAAATTAGTAGCCAGGATTGGACTTGAAGTCCAAAGAGCGTCTCGGTTTTCCATGTCACCCTTTGTTCCTTCTAGCAGAGCAGTCCTGTTTTGTGCTGTTTTATCTAACTAATGGTGATGCCAACCATCATTAAATATCTTCTTTACTCTTAGGGATCTATCTTCTGGATTTAATCTACATCGATTCTGCATATCCTGCCTCAGGCAGCATCATGGAAAATGAACAAAGATCCAATCAGATGAACAATATTCTCCGAATAATCGCTGATTTACAAGTTTCCTGCAGCTATGGTGAGTACCCCTGATTGTTGGCATTGTGAAATCTTACATCACTGAAATTGGGGTCCACATTATCAGTGAGAAAGCTCTAGAAACCAGGTAGCCCCACATCACTCTTAGTTTTAATACCTTGTGCTGGATACTAAAACATGTGCTAGATCTTTTACACACATTGATCTTAAAGGCTGTGCAAACCAGATGTTACCATCTTTGTATTACAGATGAGGAAGCTGCAGCTGAAAACAGGTTGGTCACTTATCTAAAGTCACACCTGTAGTGAGTGGCAGAACCCAAGTCTGTCTGGCTCCCAAGCCATTCACTCTTGAAGAGCTTGTGGGCTGCTTCTCGTGGTGCTCCTCCAAGTCAATTCAGAACCCAGGCTCTCCCATCTCGTGGCCCTGCCATGTCCCCTGGCCCTAGCGTCCTCCATTGAACTCTACCTCCAGCTGGCAGATCCAGGAAGGGAGAGAATCGCAGGAGTGGGTTTTGTGAGCCAGACCTGCATGTGGTGCTCGTCACTGCTGCTGAGGAAGGCTGGGAAATGGAATCCAGCTGCAGGCCTAGAAGGAAAGGGACATGACATGGTAGACAGCTAGCCAGGCCCTGCCACACGTGACCAGGTCCAAAGCGTGACCGTGATGGTGGGTGTCCGAGCTGGATGGAGGAGATGGTTGTTGGGGATGAGGTCAGGGAGCTGAGAAGTCAGAATGCTGGGTGGGCTGTCCATTTGGGCATTAATTTCACCCAAGATGATGATGGATCTTGAGGTGTGGAGCGCAACTGTGAGCCAGGTGCCCAGGTCCCCCGGGAATTGGTGGAAATGATTGGGGCCAGTCGGCAGATGGCAGCAATGAAGAGGAGAATGGGTGAGAGTTGCAGGAATGTACCTCTGTAGAGCAGGGTTTTCACAAGAGGGTGGAGGAGTACAAGTCTGGAAGCAGTGAAGGGGGACAAGAAAGAGACCAACCCTACCCACAGGACACAGGTGCGAGCAAACCCACAGGACACAGGTGCGAGCAAACCCCAGGACACAGGTGCGAACAAACCCCAGGACACAGGTGCGAGCAAACGCACAGGACACAGGTGTGAGCAAACCCCCAGGACAGGTGTGAGCAAACCCCCAGGACACAGGTGCGAGCAAACCCACAGGACACTGGTGCGAGCAAACCCACAGGACACAGGTGTGAGCAAACCCTCAGGACAGGTGTGAGCAAACCCTCAGGATGGGTGTGAGCAAACCCACAGGAGATAGGTGTGAGCAAGCCCACAGGAGATAGGTATGAGCAAACCAGCAGCTTCCACTTGGGAAGGCCCTGGTGGGTTCACTGAAGCCAAAGGCCCACTCACAAGCCACCCCACAAGCACCCCGGGGTCCAGATTAGCTCTCCTTCTGAGCAGAGGAGCAAGGATGGGACTGTATCCAGTGCAGTCCTCGCCTGCCAAGACCCTTTGCACTCCCAAGTACCTCGACACTTGTTATCCTGCTGGCCAGCAGAGCAGTTACAGACAGAGCTTTGGGGTCAGACAGACTTGGGTTCAATCACAGCTTGGCCCCTTGAAAAGTCACTTTCTTCTCTCAAAGCCTGAGGTTTCTCATCAGTAAACACGGGGGTCACGGTGCGTGCAGAGCCCTGAGCATGCCCCAACATTTCATGAGAGCTCACCCTTACTGTTGTACCTTCACCTGCATCTTCCCCGTCATCGGCTTTGGGAAGCAGGTGTCATTATCCCCATTTCAGAGATGAGAACACTCAGGCACTAGAGAAACAAAATGACCTGTTCAGTATCTCACAGTTAAGGGACAGCCATCCGGTGCTCCTTACATTATCTGGACACACCTCCCTAGAAAGCGAGGGCCCTTCCTCACCCTCTTTTCTGCTGTTTTTCACAACCTCTCCCACTGCCTCCGTGTCTCCTCTGAGCTTGTGCTGTCCCACCCTATGGGGAAAGGCAGAGAGGACAGTGGAGGGTTTTCGGCTCCCTCAGGACTGCAGTGACCATGAACCTCTGCATAGAGCAGCTGATGTCAGTCACTAAGGGAAAGAGATAGTGCAGTGTGGCAGAGGCCTCAGGCGACCTGGGATCAAAACCCAATCCGCCACTTCCCGGTGACATGAGCTTTGCAAGTTGCTATGGCTTTTTCCTCTGTGAAATGGGCATATTATGTCCCCTAAATGAGGCAGGTGCAAAGGTTAAGACAGGTGACTCCTGGATCGCTTGGTACAAAGCCTGGCACAAAACAGGTGCTCCAGTGTCTAGGCCCCTCCCTGTCTTCCCAGGATGCAGCAGCTCCCCCATGGACCAGACACTCCAGCTATGCCAGGTCCTGGGTTGGGCCTCTGCACCAGGCTGGATAGGGTTTGTTCATCCATTCTTGCATTCTTGTCACACAGTGATGGGCAGGCATTGGAGGCGTGCCCAGTTACACCAGGGGAAACCTGTTTTCGGGCATAGACACCTGGCTCTAGTCTGTTCTGGAGGCCAGCTTTCCCCAAAGACCCATCTTCCCCTGGCAAAAGAACTGTGGTGGCCTTGAGGTGTGGTGTCTGTGGCCCAGCCCTCTGGGGGTCACTCCTCAAGGGCAGAACCCAGGCCTGATCACCCCTCTGTGCTTAAGTGCCCAACACAGGGCCTCTTGACAGACTGAATATGTGTCCCAATACCCAAGGAGCATCTAGTGCCAAAATCAGTGATGTGTACACTTCTCATTTGGGGCCTAGAGATGGGGAGAGACTGAAGCTTCTGGATTTTGTCCCCCGTTTGCAGATCACCTCACAACCCTGCCCCATGTGCAAAAGTACCTAAAGTCTGTACGCTACATTGAAGAGCTCCAGAAATTTGTGGAGGACGACAACTACAAGTGAGTGCCCACTGTCGCCTGACCCTTATGGGAACCAGAGTCGCTGCCTGCAGGGCTTACAGAAGCCCCCATGCCCCAGCCACACAAGCACGTGCACACGATGTGACCCCTGACCCACAGAGCCCTCAGCAGTGCAGTCTGAACACCCCCTCCCACCAGCCTCTGCCCCAGGCCCACAGGCGCCATGGTTCTCAGGAAGGTGTTTTGTGAACGCCTCAGCTTGGCTCCCAAATCGCATGGGCGATGTGAACTTGGACTCCACAGCAGTGTGTGGTGCGGGCTTGGTGCTCCAGGTTCTCCCTAGTGACTCCCAGTGCTGGGTACAAGGGCAGCTTTCTAGCCATATCTCCAGGCTAGAAAACAGAGTTTTCTCGAAGAACTTGTTTTGTGAACAAGGCAGCTCCCTGTGGTCCCAGCCTTCTGCCAGATCCTCACTGCCTGGCCCTGGCTCAGGCCCCACCTCCATCCCATGGGACCCTGATGGAGTAATCCTGTTCCCACGAAGACCCCTGTGGGTCCTTGGCCTCGTCTTCCACTCACCCTGCTCTGGCTTTTGGTTCTTCCTTCGTTTGTGGCCCCTGGGAGTTTATCCAGCATTTATGTGCATTTAGAGGGAGAAGGGAGGGTTTTTCATATCAGCTATGTCCGCCATATTGATTGGACGTCCTCTTGGCTCGTTTTGACCTTGAGGTGAACCGAGAGCCTCAGAACCTTTTCCTGTGAGCTGGTATATCAGGGCAAGTCTCAGCCATCTTGGAATTGATCATTTACCCCCTGAATGTCAACTTTACACGTACTCCTTTAAATCTCAACTTATTGGTCGCTTCTGGTGCACCATGATTTCCTTGAATCCTGTTCTCCAGTATGTATTTTTTATCTCTTCCAGTTTTGCATCTGAAAATTTGATCAGCTTGATTACTTGGTCTTCATATAAGTAACTGAAAACTGTAGAGAACTGTGGCCCCTAGAGACACCCCCCCAGGCTACCTGTGATTCACTCATCAGGACCCCAGGAATGGCTGCTCAAGCAACGCCACATCTGCCGGCTCTGCAGCCGAGGTTCTCAGCCCTGTGAACCAGGGTCACCTGGAAGCTTTCTAACAGTCCATGTGTCCAGGGTGGGGCCTGGAAAACTGTAGTTTTTCAAAGCTCCCTAGGTGGTTCTAATGATTGGTTATAACTTGGGGAACATAGACATAATGGCTTCAGTTGTTATCGTGTAATATTTTGTTAAAATAGAATACAATATGAAACTTTGATCTATTACATAATAGTAATAACATAGATGAAGGCCAGAGATTATCATTAAAATTATGTTTCCCACAAACTGAGCTCATTTTACTTACGAAGCATTTGCTGTTCCTAAAAAAAGAACCCTGGCGTGTAAAATGATCCCCACTTAGGTTCTGGGATAATATTTTCCACTCATGTGCCAGTAGAACAATTAAAGAAACAGTAATTTTTCATTAACACTAATATCCCTTAAGGAAAAAAACGGTCTATTAATACTTCTGAACATGAGCTAATCCTTAGACAAGCTGCAGATTGTGGGTAACTACTCCTTTCCTTCTGAAGGATATTGCCCCCCCCCCGCCCCCCAACTTGATGCTAAACAACAGTCAGCCTGGACTTTACAAAGGCCCTTTGTTGTGGCCCAAGAGGCCAAACCCAGGGAGGAAGGCTGCATTCTCCCCCCAGGGCTCCAGGTCCAGACCATTGAGGGGGTCCTTCCCAGGGAGTGGGTCCCTTTCCCGGCTGTGAGTGGCAGAGACAGTCAGGGCTTACAGTTCTGCTGGAGGAACCCACACTCCAGAGCCCAGCTGGAAACTTTGCTCCCCACCCCAAAGGACACAGATGCTTAGCTATTACCTTGATGACTCTGCCCCCATCTGCTTTGGAATTATTGTACCAAGGGGCCCACCCAATGCTTTGTTTTTCTTAGCCTTTAGTCTATTTTATTTTGTTTAAGAAAAATTACCCAAATTCCCACCACCTAGAAAGCATGACCATTAGCAATAAGTGAACATAACTTGGGACTTTTTTTATGCATAGAAAGTGCAAACAGAGATACAACTAGAGAAGGATGGATAGGTGCATGGATGCTAGGAATAGAGTTTATTAAAATTGGATCATGCTACACTTGCTATTTTTAATTAAAAATATTAACTTTAATTTTAATTTAACCAGAAAAAAAGGAACTGGAATAAAACAAGGAATTGCTGCTCTCCAAATAAATATTTTGCCACCACAAGAGATATTATTTCCTAAAAGAGCCTTCTAAGATTAATAAAGGAGGTTAGGAAAACATTAAGAGGATTGAGTCCATACGTTCTGTTTTGTCTGGATTCCATCGTGAACAGGGTCAGTTCACTGTGGTTATGGAAGATGAGAACATTGGCACTCTCCCCCGTCCTTCGCCATCTTCCAGTTTTTCGTTCGTTATATTATTACTACGTAGTCCAAGTTTATAACATACACATCATGTTGAGGAATCATGATTCCTACTGTTTAGTGTTCTTAACCAGATCCAGTTCTTACCACCTGTTGTTTCTCTGCAGCTTCTCCATTCCTGGAGCCTTTATTTGAAATCAGTCCCTTATTTAGCTGGATTCCATCATGAAGTAGGTTTTCACAAACCCTGCAAGCTCTGGATTCTTTCATGCAAGTCCGCAGCTGCCTTGCCGGCTGTGCGCCTTTGCGTCTCTCCCCCAGGACCTGCAGACCCTCGTGGCCTTGCGTTTAGGGAAGCTGCAAGCTAGTCCAATTTTTTCCTCTTGTAAGTGTCGTGTTTTGTTTTCCTGGTGGGTGAAGAATTCCTTCAAGTTCAAAAGCTGAACAGCGGGAATACCTCCTTGTGGGGGGTTCCGTACATACCAAATTTCCCTGGAATATGGTGTTTCTTCATTTCAGAGGAATTCTTTGGGTTTATATCTCTGACTCCTCCTTCTGGGTCATTTCTTGGCTTTTCTTTTTCAGCAATTCCAGGAATCCATATCTTAGACTCTGTGCTTTCCATCCCCATTAGCTCCTTTCTGATGGCTGTAATCTCCACCTTTGTCATCAGCGGTCACTTGGATGACCTTGGGTACTCAGGTATTCACTCGGTCCTTGTTCCCCTAGGTCTCCAGGCTCCCTTTTCATCTTACTCCTTGTGTTATCGTTTTATTTTTTAGGGCTTGTTTTATTCAACCCGCCTTCTGTATGAGTTGTTCTGCTCAAAGCACTTGCGGGGATTTCCCTGTGCTCCTGGGGACTGCCCCCTGGGCTGCACAATTCTCTCTCCTTTTCCTGTGAGAGGATGTTTGCTAGGCTGCCGTGCCAATCCTTTTCATCTGCTCCCGTATGAGCGGCTCCGTCTGGATATCCCATGGCCGTGATAGAGGGAGGCCACACCTGACCTCACTCTCATGTGTGAAGTCAGCTGGTTCTTCTCCTGATGTGCTGTGAGGTCCCTGGGTTCTTAGTCTTTCCCTTGCCTGTTGCCTGGGGGATTGCAGAGCCCAGGCCCCATGGAGGCAAGGAGCAAGCAGCCCAGCTATGGGGGCTCTCTGAAAAGGCCTATATCAGTTAGGGTTTCCTCCGCCCTGTTGGGGCGGTATCCCATTCCAGAAAAGGACACCCTTCAGTGTGAAATCCCCTGCCCCCGTGGAGGCTCCATTCCCATCACAGCATCCTCCATGCTGTCCACCCATCCCCCCCATTTCTGCCCAGCATCTGGAGCCACTCAGAAGAGGGCTAGGTTAGGATGCCCACACAGGCCTCCTAAGACATCTCCGAGGGCAGGACAGCAGCTGTGCCGTGTTACAGCTCCTGGTCTGAAGTTCATGGCTTCCGTCCGTGCCCCTTCCCTTGTTGAGTAGCAGCTGCTCAGTTCATTTATTCCTAAGCTTTCCTAATTCTGTGTTGGTTTTGTTGGGAGAGGGAGAGCCTGGCATCTGGCTCTACTCTGTCATTTTCACCTGGAAGTTCTTAATTGAGGCTTTAAAAAAATAATAATATTGGGGTGCCTATCCTCTTAATGTGCCTATTGCCGTCTGCCTCTCTGGGGGCATCTGAAAAGAACGCCACGTGATGATAAAACCCGGGTTTGGGGTCAGACGCCCTGGGGCTTGTTCCCCTGCCCCTCCACTTGGTGCTCCACTTGGAGAGCTACGCCTGCTCACTATTCCTCAGTTTTCTGACCTATAAGACAGAGATAAGACGCATATCTGGCTCATAGGTTTGGCCTGAGAATGAACATGGGTTCCCAGCCAACGATGGGCCATGATTATTACTCTTTTTACTGTGTCACCCTTACCCATATTTCTTGGTCATGGAAATCCCCTGGGGACTCGGAAGGAAGTGGCTGTGACCTAGAGCAGACCTCGAAGTGTTCCTGGGCTCCATGACCACAACTGTCCTGAGCAGCAGCCCTGTCTCCCAGTTACAAACATACGCGTGCTGAGTGCCCCCCGAGACACCAGAGCCCATCTGACCTTGTGAAAATCTTCATTTTCAGACTGTCGCTCAGAATTGAACCAGGAAGCAGCTCTCCAAGACTAGTCTCCTCCAAAGAAGATCTTGCAGGTACCGTAGCTGCACCATATCGAGTAGCAGCAAACCTGTTACTAGCCCTAACATGGCTGCCAGGGTTGGCCTGGTCTGTGGAGCCAAAGGGTACAGTTCAGTGTGCGGGTTGACAGACTCAGCTATCCCTGTTCATAGCCCTCCCACACCAACCTGCCCAGGCCCCTGGGGGACCCTCTGGGCTGAGGCTCCCTGGAAGAGCCTGAGACTCCAAAGCCCCAAGAGAGGCAAGATCAGAGCCCCAAGTTGGGAGCTTAAACAGGGTAGATAGAGAAAGCCTCAGGATCTTCTCCGGGTCACCTGGACCCTTATCATTAGGCCTGCTGCCTAGGCACGGGTTGACATGCCCTGGAGGGGTACAGGGGATGCCCAGGGTATTTGGTGCCACCAGACACAGAAGGCTTACCTTCCTGTAGCATCTGTTCTGTTCACATATTTGGGGCACACACAGTGTCCCCTAGTGATTAAGGGCCCAGGCTTGGAAGTCAACCCGAGCTATGCTGTTTCCTAGCTTTGTCACTTTACCTCTCTGGTGCCAGTGGCCTCATCCACACAATGGAGGTGGTGTTGTGATGCCTGGGCACGTTCATGCCTGCAGAGCGCGCTGCCATGTGGGCACGTTGTGAAAGGGCTTCATGTTATCACTGTGTCAGTTTCCTCTTATCAGTGTTCCGCAAGCTCTCAGTGACAGGCTGATCGCTGCTGCCACCCAGGGAGGGGCCAGATCAGGGGCGGGGAGCTGACTGTTCCTCCTCCTCCTGGTTTGAGCTTGCGTCACACCAACCTGGGTTCTAGGCCACTGCAGCCATGGACAAGCAACTTCATCCCTCTGAGCCTCGGTTTCCTTACCTGTAAAATGAGGATTAAACATACCTCCATCCCAGGAGTGTTGAGGTGTCAAATGGAAATGATATTCGGAAGGCACTCAAGATAGTCTGACATGTAGTAAGTGGTGAGGAGATGGCTGTTGCAAGCGGCTGCCTGGTGTTGTGCCACCCCAGCCTGCTGACCTGCTCAAGCCACTCTCTCTACTGTCTGGAGCCAGGCCAGCATGGCACTTACATCTCCCGCTGGGCATGGGCCCACAGGCCCCACAGAGGGCAGTGTTGCAGCCTCTCACGAGCCCAGCAAGCAGGGCCTCTGCCCTGACCACCAGGGTTCTCTCCACGCTCCTTTTCTGTTCCAGCCTCTGCTGGCTCCATTGTACAGGCTGGACCCTGCCCCTGGCACCCCCGGGGACCCCGAGTCACTTAGCAGAGGGAGACATTCATTGCTCCACAGAGCCCTAGCCTAAGCTTGATTTTCACCAGGTTCCATGAGCCCAATATTAACATATCATCTGCAGTCTCCCCCCAAATCCACTGCCTTCCACACATGACAGGTGACCCACTAGCAAAGGTGACCAGAAGGAAAGCTCCTGGTGTTGGTCTTGTCTCTGCCTTCATACCTCTGTTTGTCCCTCTCTGTCAGCAGTGTTCCTTTCAGGTGCTCACTCACCTAAACCTGACCATTGGGGGACAGGGGCAGCAATCCTGTCAGAGGGGTGTCAGAAAAAGCAGTAGGATCCTAAAACAATTGTTTGGGGCCACCTAAGGAACAATAGGAAACACTAAGCATTCGAGACTGTTTCTTCAGGAGATAATGCCACAATTCTGGAGCAGAGTGGGCTCACATACAGAAAGCGTTCTGCCCTTCTGCATCTCCTCCAGATTCGTTTGAAGAAGTCCCTGCAGCCAGCCTTATCTGGGTGACACGCCTTAGCAGGATGAGCCACATCTCTGGCCTTCCCCGGGTGCCAAGCAGTCCCCATGGCCACCCTGCCTTTCTACCCTCCTATCAGTGCTGAAGGATTCATATCCCAGCACTCCTTCCTGCCCCAGCCCAGGTCTGGACCAGCAGCTTCCCCCGCATGGCTGGCAGGCTGTTCCAGCAGCCAAACTGCTAAGTGGGGGCCTCAGGGCTGGGCCACTCACCGAGCGCTCGGGCAGGAAAGGAGGAGCTGCATTTGCTTGTGACACTGCCTAGGATGGAAGCCAGCACCCGGAGCTGGCCCCCACCCTGGCCCGGGCTCCTCAAGGGTCAGCCGACTTGCCCACCCCATCTGCCCTCACCTCCAGCTGCTCTGTTGTTCTTTAGCCATGTGAAACCAGCACGCAGCAAGTTAGCCAACCTCCAGCATCAGTCAGAATCCTGGCAGGAAACGGAATTGTCCCCGATGGTTCACATGAAGAGACTTAGTGAAGGTGAAATGGGACAGGAAGAAATACTGCACACAACGAATGGTGTGGCGCCCAGCGCCTCTAGGCCGAAGGACATGGGGGGAAGGTGTGACCGGCTGACTGGCGAGTCTCAGGACTGAGCACCTGAGGGCCAGACGGAACACCCAGTTTCTGCCAAATGCTCACTTTCTGCACCTGTGAAGTGGACACACTAATACCTCCCTCCAGGGTTGTTGTGGGAATTTGCTGAGACTGAGTGTGTAAAACCCAGAGCACCGAACCTGACACAGACGGAACACACTCGTCAAGTGTAACATCCATTATTAGGACAATGATATTATTATCAACACTAGGGTTCCACCAGATGCCACTGCCTCCGGGAAGCCTTTCTGCACCCTACCTCCTCTCCTCCTGGACCCAGCAGGCCCGTCACCCCAGGGCTGGCAATCTAGGGGCTAAATCCACGGCCTCTGTTTTGTATGGGAGCACAGCCACACCCACCCATCGACCTATTGTCTGTGGCCTGTTCACACTCCCGTGGCAGAGCTGAGTGGTTGGGACAAGGATCCTCCAGCCTGCAAAGCCTACAATATTCACGAGCTGGCCTTTTACAGAGAGTTTGCCACCCTGCGGCCCGTCCCACCCTTGCAGCTGTCTGTCCATCTCTGTAGCACTTCCCTCTGTGGTAATCAGACAGTTGTCTGTGCATGTTTGTCCCACATCTGCCTTCCCCACCAGCATGAAGCCCCGGAGGTAAGGACCCACCTGGAGTTCCCAGAGCCTGGCACACAGGCCGCTGGGTAAACACCTGGGCTTGCCTTTCCTGTCCCTTAAGCCCCAGCCTCTGAGCTCCTTGCTGGGCCCTGTGGGCACCTGGCTCTCGAAGGCAGCTCCAGCACAGGCTGACTGCTGACTCCGCACTCCCTCTCAGACAAGTGCTGATGCCAGCAGTTTACATGCAGTGGAGCAAGCCCCGGCTCACAGGAGTGTTTTCCACCAATTTTCCTAACTCCTGGCCGCAGCCCTGGAAGCAGGATGGTAAGGTTTTCATTGATCACCAGAGGGCCCAGGAGCACCTGGAAGGCTTCAGGTTCACCCAGAGAGGTGGCACCCATGGCACAGCCGAGGGGTCCCATGGAGGGCAGGGCCCTAGGGGCAGCTCCAGGGAGGCTTTTCCCCATCTGGCAATTAGCCTGGCTGCATGGCAGGAGCCTGACCAGACCCGGGGACAGGAATGTGCCTCTTGCAGTCCCAGGAATGGGAGGAACGCAGCCTCCCTCAGCTCCTCAGGACGGGGGCATAAGCTACTGCTCTGGGCTCTCTTTCCAGCAGCCAGGCACCTCCACACCTGCCAAGGAAAGCCCCCAAGATGCCTTTATTCCTTCACTCAAGACGTCCATGCCCAGCGCCAGCTGTGAGCCAGGCATTTGCTATGGGCCACGTACCCAGTAGAGCAAAGCCAAGGCCTGCCCTCATGGAGCCGACACGTTAGTGGGGGGCCAGGGGCAGGAGCCACGAGGGGGCGATGTGTTGCACATCAGGGAGCTAGGAGGAAGCCCGTGTGAGCCTCCTTTGCAGCTGCACCCGCTTCTCTAACCAGCTCCCCTGCCTGGGCGTGGGAGACACTGACTGGCATTGGGAGCAGCCCTGGTCCTGGGTCCCTCGGAGCCTTGGTTAATGTCGGAGCCTGTGCCCTCTGTCTCTGCGGTGGTCCCGGCCCCCTCAGAGAGTTGCCCCCACTCTCCACCCCCGGGGAGTGGCTATGCTGGCAGTCCTGCACCAACAAATAGACAGACTGTGAGAAAGGAAATGGAGAAACCTTCTCAGTTTCTGGTCTGTGGAGGAAAAACGGCCAGGAATGCCACGTTTTCAATTTTCCCCCGTATGTAATGTTTAGTTTATATAAATGAACTAATATTTTCCTGGAGAGCAAAAATCATAAAGCGTGTTGACCCCCAGAGAGGGCAAGCCGTGTTTGTGTGTGCCTTGGAACTGGTGAAGACATTTCCAGATTCTGTTAGCCACGCCTCCACGTGGCTTAACCAACTGACAGGTTTTCTCTGCAGAATCCTTGGCAGCAAAGCAAGTCCATGGAAAACCTCAGCCTGTGCCTCGGAGTCCTGTACTCGCACCTTCAGGACTGCGCCCCCTCACACCTTTCTGTCTTCCTTACTCCCTCGCCCAGTGGGTAACAGCCCTGCTTGGAGTCGGGCAGACCCAGCTTCAAAGCCCCGGCTCCTGCACTTAGCTGTGGGATCTTGGGCCATTGGTTAATCCGTCTGAGCCTCAGTTTTCTTATTGGCGAAATGGGACTAGGAATAAATACTTTGCGTTGGCTTCCTTCATAGGGCTGAGGCCATGCCTGAAAATCCCTTAGCGTAGTGCTCGGTGCACACTTACCACTCAGGAATGTTAGCTCGTGGCCCTGACAGATCGGCTCTGATGCCGTCCCGATGGCGGGACAATGGGAGGCAGCCGACAGGGAGCCAGCGGACCCTCACCTCTGCGCGAGCTCACCTCTCATCAGCTATACCAAGACTGTGGCCACATAACAGACACCCAGAGTCTCGTGGCCTGCAACAACCATTTTATTACACATGTACATTCTGTGGGTCAGGAAGCCGGACAGGACACAGCCGGACAGCTTGTCTCTGCTCCACTGTGTCTGGGGCCTCAGCCAGAAAGACTCGAAGACTGAGAGGGACTCGATGGCTGGGGGCTGGAGTCACCTGGACAGGCCTGGGGCTGGCTGCTGGCTGGAGCTGCAGCTGGAGCAGAACA